TCTTTATGGCAGGTGGTGTCAGAGAGTTGTCCATTGGCCTCATTGATGTAGCCATCATGATTAAGGACTATGTTGTGGCCCCTTTTGTGTGCTGGTTTGATCACTATATAGTGGTTAGATTTCAGGGGCTTTATAGCTATCCTTCCAAAGGCAACTTTAATTCATAGCTCTGCTAAACACTAAAAGCCAGGGACTCAACAGAGATATTGATTGTATGGCTCATTACAACAATTTGTAACACATTCCACTGCCTGCTAATGCGTAAATGACTGCTTCATTTTAAGTAGTAGAAATTATGCAATCACCAGGCCTTTAGGCTCAGGTCAAGACATTTTTAATTTGTCAGTCCCTGCGTGTCTTTCTCAGGTGTCCTGAAAATAGCTGGTTGCTCTGGAAATGAGTCAACCCTTCTCCGGAGAGGGAGTAAAGTATCTGCGCCTAAAATATTCATATCTACTTGTGAATTCGCAGAGGACATTCAACTTAGTAAACACTTTGTACACATGATTTTCATCTTTGGATTCTCATCATCCTTCCCCTCATTGGTTCAGTTGCTTTCAATTCAAATCATAAACAGCTTCGATTTTTATATTTTTGCTTTTTATTTTGAAATGAGATGTTACTTAATACAAGGATGCGAAAGATCAGTAGAAAGCCTTTTTGATACGAGACCATATATGACAAAGATAGAAAGCAGAGTGCTCCTCCAGTCATTCTGCTTCATTAACCTTTTTATAATGGCACGCATTATTTGACAAAAATGTAACAAGCGAGAAGCAGGCTGTACATCTGTTTGCATTTAAAACTCCAGGAGAGAACTAAACCGTTACAACTGGAAACCTGCCACTATTACTTGCAAACTGGCTAGTATAAACTCAGCGAAGGCAAAGTTATGTCCTATCTTAGCTGAAGTCAGTTAACACTTAACACTGTTGTCTCCTAAACTAACAGCAGCACATATAGGGCATTATGTTTTAAAATCACCTTAACCTGAATAATCAGCGCAACCCCCTTTTTAGAGTAGTTAAAATAACTATTACAGGCTTATGTAACTCATCCAGGATCGTTTAATACAGCAGGCTTTTTCCATTCCTTATAAGTATAGCCTCAAAGAGGCCAAGCAAGACAACCTCTATCCCCTTTGAACACCTTTTCTTCCCTTCGTTTGCTTTTGTCCACAGCTTTTAGATGTCCTGAAATACACAAGACTAAAATACAAAGTGTCCTAGAGTTGTAACATTTAGAGAAGAAAAATGTGTTGGGATTCAGTGTGCAAGGCAAGAATACATTGATTAATCGGGGGTCGGCAACCTTTCAGAAGTGCTGTGCCGAGTCTTCATTTATTCACTCTAATTTAAGGTTTCGCGTGCCAGTAATACATATTAATGTTTTTAGAAGGTCTCTTTCTATAAGTCTATAAGATATAACTAAACTATTGTTGTATGTAAAGTAAATAAGGTTTTTAAAACGTTTAAGAAGCTTCATTTAAAATTAAATTAAAATGCAGAGCCCCCCCCCGACCGCTGGCCAGGACCCGGGCAGTGTGAGTGCCACTGAAAATCAGCTCGCGTGCCGTGCCATAGGTTGCCTACCCCTGGATTAAATCAACCTGTCCACAAAGCTAAAGTGAAAGTAACACACAACAAAGTAAAAATGATGAGTCAGCTGCCCATCGCCTCTATAAGCCACCTGTACATAGAACTGCCAGCTGTGTAGGGCTGAAAGGAGAATTGTTCAAAGAAGAACAGGTGGGGGGAAATCAGCTATACAAGGCCAAAAAAAATCTCGACACAAACTTTCAACCACAGACCATTAGGCACAGTCACCCCCTTCTACCATAAGTGGGCACAAAACCATCTGCAATTTTTATTTCCTACCCTAAAGATACTGCAGTCAGAATGTTTTGTAGTCACTGGAGTGGAACACACAACAGTTATCTATTCCCTTACATCTTAATTATGTGTACTTCTCTGAAGACAAAGTTAGATTTTAAACTGTTTCTTTAATCAGATGTTAACATTTTGCAAGACTTTTTTTTTCCCTAAAGTGACATCATCTTGGCAACAATAAATGGGATGAAAAATTCTGTCTGTAGAATGGACTTGCCTTATAAGGACTGTGTTCAAAAATAAATGTTCGTGTAACTAAGTTTCTGCAAGGAAGTGAGGAAAGGAAAAATATGTATGTGACAGATACGGATGCAGAATTCCTGTCACACAGAGAACTAACTTACCGGGCAAACTAATTTTTTTTAAAGCATGTGTTCTGATTGGGAGACCAAGTGTTAATATGCAGATTTAGAGTTACTCACTGGAGTAGTCCCTTTGATCTCATTGGGACTACTCATATGAGTCAAGGTTTCAGGATTGTCTCGGTTTGTTTCAGTGCTTTGTATTTACAGCATATATCGGCAGCTTGAGCATCTCTCCAGTAGGACAGCCATATTGCTCTCTTCAGTTATATACAGACAAAGGGGAAGCATGAAAAGCTTAGGGATCAAAGCGATTCCCGTCTAGTCTGTGATGAACTGGGGGTTCTGTCAGTACCACTTCTGAATGAGGGACGATTTTATGAAATGACTGCTGTGTCATGGGAAGCCTACTTGTATGTGGCTCCACCATGAATGAGCAGGGTGGTGTTATGTTTCTGCTGGCCAGAGACAACGGTGAGTGAGCTCCAATCGTCTATTCAAAACAGGGACAATGGGTGTATTTGTTCCTGTAGCTGGGACAAGACGCTTCCTCCGGTTGTCTGAAGGGAGTAGGGTTTGGAAGTAATGGAAAGTTACCAGGAGAACAAAAAAGCCAGGTGACCCTAGTGGGAGTCAAAGGGAGTCACCGGAGGAGACTGGGGGAGAGAGCCATTTTGCCCCAGATGACAGTGAGGGAGTCTGCTGCAGGGGCAGGGTAGGCATGAGGGTGGAGGACATCGCCTGCCTGCTGGAAGACAGATGATTCCCAAAGACCCCAAGGGAAGGTTAAGCCTATGAGGGACACTGTATTTAGGAGGGTTTGTATGATCTGTACTCTCCTGTGCTTGATCTGTTAAGAGCGTAACCATGTTCGACTGAGCAATGTGTGTGTGTTGACTGCATCACAACTACTGTGAGCCCCTGAGAGAATTAACCTGTAACCTAGAAGCTTCGCACCTTTTGGGTGGACTTTGGGAGAGGCGCGTGTTTAAGTACTGGGGAGTCTGGAGGGCCAGTGCTGTGCCCAGAGGGGCTAGGTGGGTGGTCAGCAGGTTCCAACCCTTGGAGGGGGTGCCAGATAGAAGGTCTGTGCCTTGAGAGTGTGCCCAGGGACCTCGAGATTGGGGCAGTGGATGGGCTCTGGTCAGGCTCCGGGGAGCCAGAGGACAAAGGCTTAGATTCCCCTCACAGCAATCCTAGCGTGTGGCCAGGCAAGGGCGCTCATTAGGATCTGTGACACAGCCATAGATGAGACAATCAAGACTTCCTGAGAAGTGTACCCAGTCCATGGCATGCCATAACAAGAGAGAGTCTTTGCTCCAAAGAGTCTACAGTCTATTTAAAACAGACAAAGAGCGGGAAAAGTTTACCTCCATTTCATAACTGCGATTAAGAGATTGTACCAGGTCCTACAGGAAGTCTGTAGCAGAGCTGGGAATTGAACTCAAGTCCCCTTGTCAAAGTCTAGTGCCTTAACCATGAGATCACCCTCTCTTTCAAGAGCCAGTGTTCCAGCCCTGCTGTGACACCTAAGGAGGATGGGCGGATATCAAGCAGTAACAGAGGGACATTTCCCAAACAACGATATTTAAAGCTATAAATGGGAACATGGGGGAGAAACGTAAGGACAGATTGTTTAACTCAGCTGAAATAGATTGGACACAATGGAAAATGGTAAATATTTTGCAACTAATTAAGGACTGTCCCTGCTAAGTTGTGCCAGTTGGCATTTTCATAGGAAAAGACACATTTAAGAAAAAAAGAAAATATCCCTTACTCACAAGCAATTACATCTATGACTAATTCAAAGGAAAATCAAATGCTTGAGTTCATCTATGTGACAACATTCTCCCTGTAACGTTGCAAAGGGCAGAGAGACACCCAAGGTGGTGATTTGGATCCGTTACATTCTTTGTATGTCAGTTACACCAGAAAAAAAACCTACATCCAAATTTTCCAGATCTTGAAGACTGTGCAAAACTTGATTATTTGAGCCACTGCTTCCCACCTTCTGGAACTGTGCTGCTTCCCTACACTTTCTTCAGTTGGACACAGAGCAGAATCGTTCCTTCAGTTCTCTTCCAAATTTCATGAAAATTCCTGTACATGCAGGGCATAAGTCTTGCATAAGCCATTTTTCATCTTACTGGATAAACATGATATGTTAGTTACCAACAAAATTACAACAGAAGCCTGTTTTCTTCTCTTACACTCAGTTAAATATTGTATTCATTTTACCTTTCTCCTTTTAAATGGGAAGCCAATGTTATTTGGCTGAAATCTAGAATTTGGTTACACACTTCAGACAGGACCAAGACTCAACTCAAGAAAACAGGAACTAATTTTCTGGGGAAATGTTCTGCTTTTATAAAAAAACCAACCTCTTCTGTTGGTTTGTGTTTTGTAAAGCTCACATCTGGCTATATTTGCTGGTATTGTACTATAGAAAAAACAGACTATACTGTATGTGATCCCAGAGTGACTGAGGAGGCCATGTTTTGCAAAGCCTTGTAAGCCATGCCCTGATTTTTGCAGAATTTAAGCCACATGGTGGCTTGGATCCAATTCCATTTTATCCAAAACAGTGAGATAGTCAAGGTGTGCATGTGGAAAGTGGGGGTGCAGAGAAAAACTTCTGATATAAAGCCACTGCCATGGTACAGTGACAAAGCCACTTGTAATAGATGTTCACAGAAAGTGAGGAGAGAATAAGATGCAACTTTAATGGTTTATTTCTGAGGGGCTGTAGTCATATCTTTCACTGCGTCTAGAATGAAACTGACACGCATGGGGCTATGGTGTGGTCAATCTAGAGATGAAAAGATGTCACTGTTACCAGAGATTTGGTCACTGTGTTCGTATCATCAGCTCTTCTAGTGCCTTATCTCTATGATTCTCATAAAGCAGAAGAACCTCTTTGATTTCGGCTTGCTGGAAACCCATATCCTCAAATTGCACTAAAAGATGCAGGAATTCAGCTGCCTGGGGGGAAAAAAGGAACAGAAAGGAAGTTATTTTATCATTCTCGATTCAAGGGGAATTCATTGTAAGGTTTCAGCAGAAGCAGCAGTATGTGAAAAGATGCAACCGAGCTATATGATCTAGCAGGATTCATTATGTTTAAAGAACAATGTTGAAATCAATGGCACAGAATGTGGATGGTAAAGCCCTGATTCTGAATGCTGCTCCACACAGCTGAATTCCTGTGCTTAGGCAGGACCCCAAGGAAGTCCATGAGGCTCCAGATATGTGCAGGGGCTGCCCAGACAGAACTAGGAACAGAATAGTTTGAAAACCCTGGGCCAAATTCACCACAGATAAAACTGGACACCAGTCCACTGACTTAGTGGAGTGACACCCGCCGGCACCAGTGGTAAATCTGGTCCCACCTCTCTAAAAGAGAGAAAATGTCCTTTTTCTGGACACACTCCATGGACGGAACAGACAGAGGGGCTAGTTTTTAATGGCAGGTAACAACTATTGTTTCTTTATTTCAATACTGTTTATGATAAAACAGTCACTCACTTCACCAATTCCCAAAGGGTGTCAATTTGGTTCTAAAGTGGCCCCTATCCAATAGTATGGTGAAATACTACTAATTTTGGGGGGAAATATTACCATTATCGGATAACAAAATAGAATTTCAGTCTATATTATGAAATACGGTAGTTACATGAAAAAGATGGATCAAATCAGAAAAAAATACTGAGTATGATCTGGGATTTATTTTTAGTGCTTCCCCCCTCACCCCCCCAATATCCTTCATTCTTGCACCAGACCTTTACTGGCCTCAGTATTTTCCACAGCCTCTCATCTGCAACTAAGTCAGCAGAAGGGAAAGGTGCAATCCTGCGTGTTGTGAAAGTTGGGGTTATGCCAAACAGTCCAGACCCAAAGTTCAGTAGTGCTTATCCTCTTCCGTGCCAGCTTTTCACACTGTTAGGGGCACCTCCCAACACCCTTGGCCAAAAGTGACTTCATAAATGCCAACACACACAGTCACAGTGCCAGGGCTCTGCCATCTGGGGAAAGGAAGGCACACAGGGGAGAGCCTGCATAGGAACCTTGGCAACTCATTGTGGAACTAGTAGATAGATGGGCCACTGGGGAGGCTGGTGCCCATGTGGTATAGAATTCATCGGTGCAGGGGCTATGGAACCAGAGTGTTTCCACTGCAAGGGGTGGGGGCAGTAATGGAGCCATTCACCAATATTCTGCACTCCCTGTGTGAGGTGGAGCTGGATTCCTCAACAGCTCGGTGTAGCCCACAAGGAAAGGAGTTCTGGAGGTTGTGCTGGGGGTTTGATTCAGTCCCACCTCTAATACAAGGCCTAAGCAACATTACTGTTTGCTCTGAAGGCACCTAACTGCTTCTGACCTTCTTCTCCGAGTACTGGAACATTTCCATTGCCTCTTCCACCTGCCCCTCTTCGTAGCCCTGTTTCAGCAACCTGTCACAGGCACTAAGGTAACTGAGAAACTACAACAGAGAGACAGCAAAGAAACTGGGTTAATATAACCTCCAGGAGAGAAGGTGAACAGCAATCAAAATATATTGCCTGTATATGAAATCTTTGATTGAAGGAGTCTGCCTGCCCACCACTGCAATATGGAGGCTCCGTCTTGAAGGTTGTTCTTATGACTGAGGTGTCACCAGAACTCCTCGAGGGGATGAGGGGATGATTACCCAGAGCCAGATGTACAGGGAGGGACAAATTGTTCCACCGTGATGGACCTTTCCTGGTTGAGAGGCTGGGCCCCCTGCTTCATAAAATTCTGGGCCCACTGACTTCAGTAGGGCCAAGATTTCAGCCCTGGTATTGTATGAGGCTTGTTTATGCAAACATTCCCTCAATGTGGGCCAGATCTTCAGCTGGTGCAAATCAGGGTAGCTTGAGTAAGCTACACTGATTTGTATCACCTAAGGATTTGGCCCTTTACTTTTTTTTTAAAAGTGCAAAATTGGATGTTTTTCTTAATTAGGCTAAATTCTTAGGTGCCCAACGGTGCTAACGCTGGACTGTTCAGATTGAATTTGCGATTGGAGACTAGACTAGGATTGTAACAAGAAATGCATGGAATACAAGTAATTTGTGCATTGTACAATTATCCCACAAGCTGTCAAAAGCTGTATGTTACAGCCACACTTCAGGGAACTAGACCGTTTGTCTTTCAGTCTCCATTAAGCTCAGCTGTGTTTTTGCACCAGTTTTTAGATACCGAGTAGAGGGAGTATCACAAATTAAAAAAAGAGATGGGAAAGAATCGATGCAAACTTGTTCCATTCAGTTCGTTGCCTGTTTTGTTCCTATGAGTTTTCAGTGACTCAGGCAGCAGGACTTTCATCACTTCCCTGGAGAAGATAATCATCTAAGATCTTCCCGTTCTCTGGGTGTGGGAAATATGAACAAAGAGAGGGACACCCCCTCCCCGGGGGAATCCAGAAATCTGAACTCTGCTTGATGTGGGGAAAAAATATTTTAAAGTTTATTTGTTTTTTTAAAGACTGTATCATTAAAGTGCTAGATAGCGCTGAACTCTAACCTGTCATCCTCACAGTGTCACTCTTGATGTTCAAAACTTCAACCCTCTAGGGTCTTGCTCCAGAATACAGAGCAGAATATGCCTCCCACCCCAAAGGAGGCCTGTTTGCTGTCATTACTGAAAGTAAACAGTTATTTTTGGCTTTCCTCGTTGTTCTTGGAGTGCTGACAGCACAATTCCCAGTGGTATCTTATAAATATCACATAAGCCATTCACTGCCCAAAAACTTATGTGACAAACAATAAATTAAATATATAATGGTAAAAGCAGCCAGGGACAAATTCACCACTTTGGTGTAAGCGGGTGCAACTCCATAGACTTCAGTGAAGTTGTGTCTGTTGATGCCAGAGGAGAATTTGATTTATAATCTCCAAAGTAAAAGAAAATGAGTGGCCCACTGCCAGACTAACAGCATCAAAGCCAGTAGAGGGATTCACTAAAAGATCATAAAACTTGCTAAATGTCCAAAAATAAAAATAAAAAAAGGCTTTCTAAAGCGAAGAAAAAAATTTGGCCGAATACTCATTTCTCCCACAGTGTGGTAATGAGGATTAAAAAGCACAACCTACATTCACTTGATATTATCAAATCAAATATTACAGCCTCTATTTGCTTGCCATTTACATGAATAACTTGCTGTTTTTATTTGTCTCATGACCTTCCTTCCTAAAAAGCCAGTGCTGTTGACAATATTTCTTTGGCCATTAACAGGGACATTGGCTTACAATGTTCACCGCAGAAGCAAACAATTCAGAGAACCTGACATTTTGTGTAAGCAGAGTATGGAACTTGTGCAAAACTGGCATAAACAGGCTGATTTCAGCATTATAAAAAACCACCAGCAAGACTAAACAAAAACAGGTTTTTAAATATTGTGACTTATCGACCTCATGGTACAGTATAGACTAATCTTTTGCCTGTGGAGGTGGAGAAAGAATGTAGCTAGCTTATCCTGGAGGAATGGATTTAGGAACAACAAGTTTTGCATTTAGTCTTCAAGAATATTAATGCACCCACAAAACGTTAGATAGGCATGTTCTGCAAAACTAAAACTAAATACATAGACAGTTTAATGCTTGCTCCTATCATAATCTGTTCTCTCTGGGGTTTTTCCTGGGTCTTATAATGAGGTTGAAGATGGTTATAAACACCAGGTAGCCTCAGTGCGAGCATCTTATATCAGAGAAAACTTCTTAAAGGGGTTTTTATTCTGGCATTATAATCTTTGGAACATGAAGTTCTTCGGTACACTTGTAGCTCGGTAATTTATCTGTCCGTCCCCCCCCACATTACGTTACCTGTCATGCTATGCAGAAAAATATTTGTTTTTTCATATCAAAGAAAAGCAATGCAATGACTCAAACTAAATCCGCTCCAGTTAACAAGCCCATGGCTTACACATTCCCTTGAATGTATTCCCAAGATTTCCATTACAAGTTTGTTTGACCCTCACTAAAAAGGCCCATCTCTCCTAGGCCACCAATTTCTGATGATTCCATAGGTGGCTGCTTAAAACAGGTTGCATTGTACACTGGTTTTAAACTCCCAGGGTCTTGCCAGCCAATTCAGAGAGCAGCCTGTAAGTTCCATCCTCACAGCCAGAGATGAAGCACAGGAATGGCACAGACTGCAAGATTAGGTCGAACCAAAATGGAGAAAAGTGATGGCTTCAGGATGAAGGACTGGGGAAAACCACTATTCTTCCCTGGGAGCAAGCTTTGGACCAAGGTCGGGGAAACCCACTGTTAAAAACATCCCTAAAATATTCTGTGTTCCCAGAACAATAGGACAGTCAATCAAGTGGAATGACAGCAAATTTAAAACTGATAGAACTTTCTTACACAATGCATAATCAGCCTGCGGAACTCACTACTACATCGTAATAGTATAGTTGAGGCCAAGAGTTAGAAGAATTTAAAAAAGGAATGGGCATTTATGCAGATAATGAGAACAGTTACATTAGAAACATAAAACATAAGAGCAGCCATACTGGGTCAGACCAAAGGTCCATCTAGCTCAGTATCCTGTCTTCCAACAGTGGCTAATGCCAGGTGCTCCAGAGGGAATGAACAAGGACTATCAAAAAGTTTTGAAGAACTATTACTTCAGTGTCAGCCATAAGCCACCCACTAACTGATAGGGGTTAGGAAGAGACTTCCATTGTGGGCAGGTTATTCCACAATTGCCCATCCACTTTGGAATTCTTCCACATCCCTCAGAACCACCTGGTACTGGTGACTGGTGGAGACAGGATACTAGATTGTATGGACCACTGACCCATTATGGCAATCCCTATCCCCGTATGAGCCTTTTAACCATGTGCTTTGGTCAGAATTGGGGTAATGCTGCCTCTTTAAGGCTGACGCCTTGAAAATTCTTGCTTTGGGAATCAGGGTAGTTTCCGGCAGATTTACTCAACACCATAAAGAATGCAGTGGTTTTTGGCTACCATATGATGTTACTACCAATCACCCTGCCTGTAGCTGTCAGCAACACACTGCAACCCAGCGTGACACTAAGAAGCAATGAATAGTCTCAATTTTTCTTTTCAAACATTTTTCCTGCAAGGTCTTTAGCCTAATTTGGTCAGACTTACACTGGTAATTTGAGACTGGAAGTCTTCATGGCTAACCATTGTATTTCCTCTTGGCTGTGTCCCTACGCAACCAGAGAAGAGAGAGGAGATCATGCTGGTGAAAGAGAGAGACCAGCATAGGGAGCTGAAGGATACAACCGTATATTTAGCTAAGGGCTGTACTGGTAACTTTGTGAGAACCTGAGGGCCGCAGTCAATTTGCGTAAAATTGAGCAGATTGCAGCCAACCTCATCTGTAATATGGAGCACTGCCTGCTGGGATGTATAGCTTCTGTGGGCTGTACCCTCCATAGTAAAGATGATGGCAGCCATGGTCAGGAGTACATTGCATGACTCCATCAACTACATAGGGCATGTAGGCTGCACTTTGCCCACTTCTCTGTGCCTGGCTTGTTTTAAGCCTTTATGAGTAGAATAAATAATATTCACCAATCTGGATTACAGAAATACCTGCATTTAACAGCAGAACTGGTCTGGGAAGGATGATCTAGTGGATAGGGTGCTAGCCGATCACTTGGAGACCTAGATCCAATTCCCTGCTCTGCCACAAAATTCCTGTGTGACGTTCAGCAAGTCACTGAGAGTACGTCTACACTACCTGCTGGGTAGCGATCGATCTATCGGGGATCGATTTATCGCGTGTAGTGTAGACACGATAAATCGATCCCCGATCGCTCTCCCGTCACTGCTGAACTCCAGCAGTGCGAGAGGCGGAAGCAAAGTCGACGGGAGAGCCGCGGCCGTCGATCCAGCGCCGCGAGGACGCGAAGTTAGTAATTTTAATTCAATCTAAAATATGTCGACTTCAGCTAAGCTATTCTCGTAGCTGAAGTTGTGTATCTTAGATCGACCCCCCCCCCCAGTGTAGACCAGGCCTTAGTCTCTCTCTAGGCCTCAGTTCCCCATCTGTAAAATGGGATAACAGTACTCTCCTACCTCCTAGGGGTGTTGCGAGGATAAATACATTAAAGATTGGCATGTGCTCAGATACTAGTTAGTGTAGAGAAGCATCCAGTAAGATAACTATAAGTGATATATATGCATTGGTGACAAATGACCCAGTATAACGCAAAGGCATTATTTGTACATATTCAGTGACTAATCACAATTCTGAAACAAATTCTTTAATTCTGGTGAAAAAGCAAGAAATCTCAGAGGGAATTACACACTCCAGTTCTGACTAGATGAGCCACGGCGATAAATCATATTGATCCAATGACCGAGAAAAACAAATCTGTTAGCAAAAATGTTTCTACACCATGAACACAAGAAATCTGCTCTTCAAAATAACATTGTGGTTTATGTCACTGATATAGGTTTTTGGTTCTATACAATAAATAGAACACTATAAAACAGTAAAACAGCAACTATTATTGCCTGTGAGAATGTGGCTGAAGATAATGCAAGCCAATTTTATTACTTAAAAATTGAAGATCCAAGGCAAAAATCCTGAATTACTTCAGTTCTTATTATGACGTATGATAAACTACTACAGTTTCCCAAAAGCAGAACTGGGCGTCTCTTTTAAGACTTGGCTAGTTACCAGACGATATTGCACTAAAGCTTCTTACATGACTGTCCTTTATCAAGTATTTTCCATGCCATTTAAGTAAAGCAATACTGGCTCCACTAACCTGACCTAAACTTTGTCTTCCCGTCTTCTGGAGGGCGATGATTGCTCTGCGTATCGGATAACCCAAGGCTATTACTGGCTCAATAAGGTCACGTTCCTCTTGGCTTAATGCCGAGAGGAGGTCAGCTGTTGAATCTGGATGAGTTCTGTGGGAACTTGGATGTCGCAGAGCCGCAGAAGGGGGTGGAAGGCAGGAATAGGGGCTGAGGGACTGAAAAATAAACACAGTACTTTATGTTCGCTAATTAAGACACATTCATTTACAAGATACTAGCATTTAGTACTCTGGGGAACTATTAAAAGAATCCTTTTTCTCCTCTTCTGGAACAACAAGGTAATTGTGGATGTTCAAAAGCAGCATTTCAGCATTTGTCATTTAACATAATTTCATTAGACTGGGCAACCAGAGGAAAATTCCAATAAATGCAACAATTCCCTTCTGGTCCTGTGTGTGAGAATATAAATAAATGGTTACAGTACATGTTAGCTATCATGCGTGTGAGTTTGTGTGTTATATATCCTGTTCAAATGTATTCTAAAGTTTACTTCAAATGACCTTACTGAGATCAGAATTTATGTTTCCAGGGAAACGCTGAACAGACCGAGATGACAATGTCTGCAGACCGGAAATCTGGGAAAACTTTAAGCTGTGCACTCTACAAATAAAAACAAACAAAAGAACCCAATCTAGTTATTACTCAGGGACAGCTACAACAATTTGTCCACAAGCTCTCCCTTCAAATGAGACTAGACTTAATTAAATCTAGGCATTGGTTCAGATACAGATCAAAGGATGCTGATATGGTAAACTGATCACATCCAGCTTCTAATTCTCAGGGAATCCTGTTCCTAACTCCAATAAGCTCTTTATTGGCCGTTGGTTGGCCAAGCAGGAAACGATTATAATATCAATGAGGATGACAGTCAGGTGGCCAAGTCTTAAAAAAAGTGACCATCTAAACTCTTGATCTCCTATTTAAGAATGTGTTGTGTGTACAAGGATATAAAACCATAAGCAAGAGAGAGAGAGACAAAGCCGTCTGAGATGCTAGAAAATGTTTCATGCTGAGAAGTGCTCATCCCGGTTAGGGGCTTATGGAATACAGTATGATGTAGGATAGCTGAAAAGATTGGGATGATGGATAAGTCATTAAATTTAACAATGGTTTAGTTTACAGAGTACGCATAGGCATATAACCACTCCATAATTACCGTCTCTAAATCTAACGCAAGTACATGTAACTTGACATTGCCTTTCATTTATTTGGTCACTGTACCTGTAGCTTTTAAGTAACAAAAGTCTGACATCTCTCAAGTACTTATGATCAAATTTGAAAATTTAAGATGACAGGAACTACAACATTCATTCTGTCATTTTCTGGTACTTAATCTATGGTGACATGATCAGACATTATAATGCAACTATGGAACTAGTTCATAATTATTCCATTTAGACTTTTTAAAAGTGAATTTTGTGTAGGTAAAAGGTGCCAGAATTGGTAGCTGTGAAAGCGGAAGTCCTTCTACCAACAAAACAGGGACAAAAGAGACTGTTATAGTGCAGTACTTCCACCCTGAGCTGCACCTTAGGGATGAGAAAGCAGTTTAATCTTCATGTTCGTTCAATCCATGGCATCCCTTCTGAAACTGCCAAAAGAGCCAATTTTTTTCAGTTGTTGAAAACTGTTTTTTCATTTGCAGTTGGCAATAATCAAAATGGTTGTAGTTCTTTGATGAACATGGAAACTGTCTCACAAAAATGTCATCTAAAAGGCATTTTTTTTTCATTGAAAAAAAATTTCAGCAAAATTTTTTAGACCAGCTCTAGTGAAAACCTGTCCCCCAACCACTACTCAGGCTTTCCTCAATTAATTTTTTCAGCCTCAACATATAACGAAGGCCAAATGTTTATGATTTCCTCAGCTTCTAAGTTTGGGAAATACTGCTATAGGGGTCGCATTGTCTTCTTTCTCTCTCACCCTTTACCCCACTTTACATGGGGCTGTGTGACTACTACAGGTAGCATTGACAGAGGTACACAGTATCAAAAAGCCATATCTTACCGCAACTGTGGGTTTATGGTTTCTTATTGGAGGTATTGATCTAGCAGCAGAAGGTGTCCTGGGACTGCAGCAAGGCGTAGGTGGAGGTGTTGGGGTTAAAGTTCCCATCAAGGATACATCCGAGGCAGGTCCATAGCTAAGATTTCTGCTACTTCGAGAGCGCTGGTAAAGAGAAAACGGTCTTGGAGCCAGATTCCTTTCAACAGATGCTCTATTTAAAGGATGCACTAAAGCAGCTAACTTCTTTTTGGCTTCTTCCAACTCATTCTTCATATTATTAAATAAAATCATGGATCTTCTCTGCTTGATCAGATTTGCGGTAACTGGCTTGTGGCAGCAGTTTTCGGAAGGTGGATCTAGCAATACCGGAGAAGTCCTTGGCCTAAACTGGTGAACTCTGGAATGCTGAGGCATGGCGCTTTCAACAAATTTGTTGTCCAAAATGTTTTCTTCTTCTTTGTTGCTTTCTTCACCGGTAGTTGAGGAATACTCATCATCCTCAGAATACTCATTCTCTTCAGAGTACCAGTCCTCACTTTCCGTCTCAGATGGTGCACCTCTGGGCGGGGGAGGGCCATATTTCACATCAGCAGCACTTAGGCTTACACATCTCCGAACAGAGGTTGTGGGTGTCACACCATCCTTTGCTTTCCCACCAGTTGTCTCCTCGTTCTGTGTATTGATGACATCGTTTTCTTTAGGATCAACCAAAAGCAGCCAGCAAGGTGGAGCTGTTGGCACAACATCAGTAGTAACTTCATACCAGTGAGTTGCTTGCCCAGAAGCAGCCTCAATCCAGTAAAGCACCTTTCTTTCTAATGAGAAATCATGCTGTAAAATAGCAGTAAACAGAATAATTCGGTATTTATTAAAAAAAAAACCCTCATGTGATGTCAATTAAAAGACTTTTATGGGTTCAAACCTTCACTCTTACTCACCGGAGTAACGCTTACAATAGAACTAGTTGCAAGAGTAAGGGGTGCAGGACGGGACAGGGTGGGCCACATCCTCTGCTGGTGTAAATCTCAGGTAAAAGAGTTATGCCAATTTACAGAGTCTGCCCCAGTATCTGTAATCCTGAACATAGAACTGTATCCACCGCTCAGAAATAATTACATCCCACTCAAATAAATTCACACTGGAACTTCGAGGTTTTTTTTTAATCTCTGAGTAATGCTTAGAAACCAACTAGCTTCCAGAGTTGAGCTCACAATCAAAGCCTTATGCCTTGTTTTAAGTATTTATCATCTACGGTACTGGGGAAGGGGAAACACAGAACTGTGGACTGAGGGTATTGGCATGGAAGTAGAAGAGGTACTATTTTCATATACTTTGTTTTAAAATGTAAATATATTTGTGATGTAAGTCTAAAGACCTGATTGAGCAAATAAATCTCATATCATGCCCTGGAGTTTGCCAGACTAGAACTCTTATGGGCTGTCAGACAAACCTACCCCATAGTCAGGCCACACGTTCTGTTTTTACTACTTACATACAATAAGGCCTAGTACTTGCTAGTGTTATGACTGAAGATGGACCTAAACCAAGTCCCCAGAGCTAAAACACATCAAACGTTGAGGAAAGATTTTAGATCCAATCTTGCAGCTTTTATCAAATTCAAGTGAAGAATAATATTGTTTTTTCCAAAGCAAAATATGAAGGTCAGAATTTGAGAGAAGGGGGCAACTGGTATGTCTGTGCAAACACAAACGTGCAAATCAGGAGACTGCACACCTCTCAGTCTGCAATTACCTGTTTTACACATGTGGCGTAAGGCACAGATGCAGCAATCTCCTTCCAAAAACTATTCTTGGTATATTTGAGATATTTAAAATAGGGAGCAAAGCAGAGCTGAGCAACAGTGAACTAGCAAAGAGGCGGGATGTGGTTTTTAACACTTTGCAGCTCCTCCCAGCAAGAGAAAACAGCATCAATCTTGGTTAGGAAGAGTCAAGAATAAAGTGCAATGACGCCACCTATTGGTGAGAACTTGTGGAACATCTCTGAAACCAAAGCAGTTCTTTTTCCAGAGGACTCCAACTAAAATCCTATCCATCCTATGGTTGAAACTGTGCTAGCAACAACTGTAACCTAGGAAATCTGCACTAGTGGGTTCTGGAATAACAGCAACTGAAATGATAGTGATAAAAAAAGTACTACAGCCAGCCAGTGGGGGAAATCCACAGCCGTTTCCTATGACTGACAAACTGTTTAGCAACCAATGTGTGCATTTAAACACAACATTCAACTGTCATGTGAATAGGGCCTAGTCTGTCAGAATACACCCCACTGCAGCATATGTCCTAGCCAGCGTGGGTAGTTTTGGCTGGCCAAAATTCCCTTTCAGGTCCTGTGGCACAGGCCAAAGCAGGATCTGGGTTTTGCCCTACCAATCTTTGGCCTTGAATGAGACTGCAAAAAAAAAGTGTCAGTTTGGTCCAGGAAATAAATATTTCAAGGATCTTTTTTCCTTTTTAGTGGGAAAAAATACTAAGCTACTCTTAATATCATGGATCTTAATATTGGGATCAAAATTAACAAAGGCTCTTAGAAAAGGGACTAACCTACCATTGTGCGCACTAGGATCTCCGTGCAGTCAGGAATATCAAAGTCGGCTAAACTGATTAAGTTGGTGCCTTCCGCAGAGTCATCTTCAAAGCTCTTGGACATTTTAAAAGGTACGTCATCCAGACAGCTCATATTGTCTCTTGATATTTTGCAATCTAACAGAAAATGAGTAAATAAAAAGAAGTCTCGGTAAATGTAATGTGAAACAGTAGGGCAATAGCATTTCACATGCCCGATCCTTAAAAAGACATGAAAGGTGAGGCAAAGTAGATATAGGTTAACGACCGCAAATAAAAATAATTTAGCTTTTGAACATAGTTCAGAGAGAAGTAAAAAGCACTATATGCTACTGATTCTGGTAAAGTAGAAGAGCAGTGTACGCTATGAACAACACTGAAAATCTTACAAACTGTATTTGGTGTCAGATACTAGAAATATTTACATAAAGGGCTAAACTTTATTATTAGATGAAGGAATTTGTGATGAACACCGAATAGGGGCGCTGTGGTTAGCCCAAATCTCCAGGGTTCACGTTTTGGATGATAGAAAGAGTTGCAGAACCTAAATGTGATTCATATTGAACATGTGAACACAATTACTTCACTTCACTCATAGAGGTCAGACTGTTGGTCTTACTCCCTGTAATTCTGCTGCACATGTGGGGCATGCCTGTCCTATGACCCACATATGGTCTGTGCTCAACGCTACATTAGTGACATATTGTTCTTGTGCAGAATCAGGTCTGTCCACTCACGCACAAGCAGAGGAACTGACAACTAAGCTCTTGCCATGGACGATTAAAGGAGACAGGTTTTTTTTTTCCACGTGCCAGTTTGCATTCTGCTAAACAGACTTTCTAGGTTCCACTGCAGTGCACATCTATACATGTCCAGAATGTGCCTGGAGCCAGCTAATCTACCTTCTTGGCCCTACATTTCTAACCTCAAGAGAAGTGCTTATGAAGAACCAGCATGCAGTTATTCTTTTATCCAGAGAAGAGCCTGTAACTGCAACTCATTTGATCATTTGCATATGTGAACTTTCAGTTCGTTAGTTTAAATGGCTTTCCAAATCTTTGACAGCCAACAGTCCTCTGTTCTAACCTCTGATCAAGTGCTCTGTTTTGGTACCCACAGTAAGTGATGATAACTTGAACAGGTGGCATATAGTCCCAGTGTGGCATGGAGTCACCAAAAGTCACCTCGACTCCAGCTTCATTTGCAGCATGATAAAGACTCATTCATTCTCCACTTCCATCCTCCACTATATTCAAGTTTAATTCCCCATATATTTTCAATACTCTCCATCCACTTCCCTTTCTTCCTTCCCCTCACTATTCCCACTCTATTCTCTACTGCCACATAGCTCCTCACATCATTCATCACCATTCTTCCTTCCATTCCCTCTCCCAACCAGAAAGCTGAGCACAGGGAAAGGACCAACTGGCAGTTCTTCTGGAGATGGAGCCTAAAATGGCATCTCAGGAAGCCACTGCTCAGCCTCTCCACCCTTTATGCAGTTTAAGGATGACCCTGGGTTGCGGGGAGGGGTAGGCAGTTTCAACCATGGACTGGTAGGCCAGTGACCAGGGAACAGTAGAGGGGAAGCACAAATAGACTTCCTCCTAGCCCAGTTGACATGACCCAGCAGCAACCCTAGCAAGGTCAGAGCTCAGCAGCGCAATCCCCAGGGCTTTCCCTCCTCTTCC